TTTTTTTTTTTTGACTTTGCTCATTGTGTGAAGAAAATTTTTTATTTATTTTTGCGATGGCGTAGTATGCAACGTGTTTGAGAGATTCTCTTGTTTTCGGTAAATTTCATTGTTTCTTCTGAATAGGTACGGGGTAAAAAAGATTATGTCGTGCGTTTTTTTGATGTACCTTTTCTTTCTGTGTTTGGGTCAAATCTAAGCATTTTTTTTTTTTTTTGTTCTTTGGTTTGGTTTTTGGCGTCTTTTTAAATCCCTTACTGTATTCTGTTTTCTGTTTACTATTATTTCGGTCTTCAAAAGTTTTTTCTTTTCTTGTTTTGGTTTTTTGTTGTGTATACAAAGTGACTACTCGTGCTTTCTGGTGTATAATGCTCTGTAGATGCTTTCTTTGGAAGTCCCCGCTTGTGTTGCATGTAACTAAGCCACTGCTATCAAGCACTGTGGGATCTGTTAAAACGTCTAACCCCTCCTCTGAGACTTTTTGCTCCAATGAATTATCGCCACTCGCATATGTAATGGATTGTATGGAGAATAAGAAATTTGATGCCGTTGTGCGTTTTTACGAGAGTTCTTTTCACCCGGATCGCATGTCACTGATTGAATTTGCCCGGGGAACTGGAGAGGCACGAGATTTGTTGTTGTGTCTTATGCGTACCTTTACATCTCTGGGACGTATGGATCGTGTTCGGGAAGTCTTTGCCATCGGATTAAGGGATTTTAGGTCACTATCAAGAAACACATTAGTATCATCAGATAGGGGTGATAGTGTTGCTAGTGATACTGGTCGTAGTGTCGGTTGTAGTCGTTCCCTTTCTTTGCTTAATACTAGTTTCTTTAACGCTTATTTAGAGGTGCTTACCCAGCGAAAAAATTTTTCTACTGAAGAAGTGACGTTTATTTTGAATCAAATGAAGGCAGCAGGTGCTTCTCCAAATGCTCTAACCTATCACTATCTTATCGAACTACATATACGTATGGGTGTAGATCCTATTGCTCTTTGGAGTGATATGCGGCGAGATCCATCACTACAGCCGTTACCGTGTACAGTTCAATCACTTTTGTTGTATGTAGTGCCATCATCACCAGATGCCTCATTTGTAGTGGATGTCACGCGTGAGGCACTTCGTCATGGTAGTAGTGTGGCGGATAAACGTCTACTGGCGCAATTGATGGAACAATGGCTTCGTAATACAAATGAGTATCCACCAGAATATGTTCTCTGGCTTATGCTTGAACTAGAACTGCGTTGTGTTCTTGATAAGGCTTCTTTTGTCCAATTCGTTCAAAAACAACATGTCGCAGAACTTCTACAACGTTGTGCTAAATGTGCAGATGCTGGAACGGCAGCCAAAGTTTTAGCGATGATGGACCGACACGTTATGACTAAAACGGCGGATATTCTTAGTCTTGTTGTTTGGTGTTTAGCACAGGCTTTAGAGCTAGAAAAGGCATTTGATCTTCTTGAACTTATGGCAAGAAAAGGTCATTTGGAACTCACAGATCCATTTAAAAAGTACACGGTAGACTGTTTACGACATGTGATGGATCGTCATTTTATGATGGCTTTAGCAGATGCTGTAAGTTCCGCTGTATTGCTTGATCGGGTACTCTTACACCTGCGAAGACGTCGTGAACGTGGTCAAACCGTTTCTGTTCATTCTCTTGATCTTCTTGTGCTTTCTGCGGCGAAACTTGGCGAAGATCGTCGATCCATGACGTTAGTGTCAAACTACATCACCGAGTGGGGTGTGCAGCCACGCACGAATACATACAATTCTCTTCTTGTGGGTTTAGCAGCCCAACGTGGGGCCTCACTGCAGCGTGTGGTGTATGAAGCCATGTTGGAGAATGGAGTCACACCGAATGCCTTTACATTCCGTGTACTTATTCGACAAGCCGTACTTGCGGATAGCATTGATGAGGCAATGGACTTTCTCCACAAAGTCACATCCCACACGGGATTGCGAGTGGAGGTGGAGATGTTGTTGCCCATTATGGAACGGGCAGCTCGGGCTGGCGATGCGGATACAGTGAACCGCGTCAGTAAATTCGCCCTTGATTGCGATATCGGCATTGATGCCGCAGTGCTGAGTAGTGTGATGAAGTTGTTAACAGAGGCTGGGCAAGATGTAGAGGTGATTAAAGGCCACCAGCCACTACACGAGGCACTACGCTCACGGTCCAAGAGCGGCAGACAACGCGTACGGCACGATATCACATCGTAAAGGAAAGAAGGAAAAAAAAAAAAAAAAAAAAAATATTTGTTTTTTTTTTTTTTTAGTTCTTTCTTTTTTTTTTTTTTAATTATATCTTGTGTGGTTTCTCAGGTATACTTCTTTAAGGTGTGCTCATAACGTGTNCATATTTGAAAATCGAAGCAGGAACAACGAACAACAACAACAACAACGAACAACCAACACGAAACGAAAAAAAAGAAAAAGCATTTCCATTCTTACATTGAGAAAGGCCATTTTGGTGTATATATTCTCTTTGTAATGAATGGATGAAAGAGCAACTGAAGAGAGTGCGTGTTTGGATGTGTGGATTTGTATATCCGCGATTATGAGGACTGAAAGAGGGAGGTATATTGTCTCTCTGAAATATAATAGATTAAAGCATTTCTTGTTGTTTTTTGTTTTTGTTTTTGTTTTTGCATTATTTTGATCTCATCCTTTTTTTTTTTTTTTTTTTTTTTTTTTTTTTTTTTTTTTT